GGCGCCGCGCGCCCCTGCGAGCCCCGGGCCCCGCCATGGGCGCCGGAGCCGCGATGACCGCGGGCGTCCTCGTCTTGGTAAGTGCCGCGGAGGCCGGCGCGGGAGGCCGGGCGCGGGGAGGCCAGCGCGGGGAGGCCGGGCGCGGGGAGGCCAGCGCGGGAGGCCGGCGCGGGGAGGCCAGCGCGGGAGGCCAGCGCGGGAGGCCGGGCGCGGGGAGGCCAGCGCGGGAGGCCGGCGCGGGGAGGCCGGGCGCGGGAGGCCGGCGCGGGGAGGCCGGGCGCGGGGAGGCCAGCGCGGGGAGGCCGGCGCGGGGAGGCCAGCGCGGGAGGCCGGCGCGGGGAGGCCGGGCGCGGGGAGGCCGGGCGCGGGGAGGCCGGGCGCGGGGAGGCCGGCGCGGGGGGCGACGGGGACGGAGGGCGGGCAGCGCGCGGGGCGACGGGGACGGAGGGCGGGCAGCGCGCGGGCGCTCCCGTCGGGGTCCCCGGGCTCGGCTGCGGGGCGCCAGGGCCACGGCTCTGCCTGCAGCCCGGCCCGGCGCGTCTTCCTCGGTCCTCCCGGACCCCAGTCCCGGCCCGGGAGCCGGCGCCCCGCGTCCTCCCCGCGTCCCCGCTTTGTTGCAGTGCGGGGTCCGGCCGAGGCGCTCCCGCAGCGGCCGTGCGCACCGGACCCCCTCCCTCCCTCCCGGGGTCCCCCCCCCGCCACTCCCACACGAGCCCGGGGACCCCCACTCCCGGGCACCTGCTGCGGACCGGGCCGGCCGAGGCGTGGTCCCGGCCACCGCCGAGCCTGCGCAGGGCGGCCCTCCGCGCCCTGCCCGCGCCGCGCCGCACCCTGCCCGCGCCGCACCGCGCCCTGCCCTCCCCACACCGCCCTGCACCGGCTGTGCGGGCCGCCCGGCGTCTCTCACCCGGCCGGAGCCCGGGGGTCCGCGTGGGGACCCCACCCCTTTTCCCCCTCCTTCCCAGTCCGAGGTGGAGGAGACAGGTGGAAGGAAGGAGATCAAACCCTGGAGTCATCGCCAACTTCCCGGCCTTCACCCCCCGCGGGGAGCGCGGAGGTGGCGAGCTAGAAAGAACCGGAAGGCCGAAGGAGACACCCCAGCATCCCCAGAAACGGGCGGGGGTGCGGGGGCCGCCGCCAGCCCGGCCCAGGGCGGCCCGGGGCTGAGGATCCGTGCTGCCCGGGCTCCCGCCGCGGTGGTAGTGGTGGGGACACGGGGACACGGGGGCGCGGGCGGCGAGGCCTCGCCAGGGGAGCATGGCGGTCAGAGCATTTACAGTCAGGCACGACCCAGGCCCCCCCCTCCCCAGGAAAGTCGTCTTCTGCCCATAGATGGTGGTGACAGTGTTAGGTGTGTAAGCCTGGAAGTTCTGGGGCGCATGGGAAGCTTGTGGGCCACACCCCACGGGCTTGGTGCATTTGTGCCTGGGAACAGCGAGCGGTCTGAAGGAGGAGAGGCAGGACTGCCTTTACTCTCCTCTTCCCAGCCTGAGACCCACACGTGTGTGAGTGTGCGTGTGTGAGTGTGTGTGTGTGCACTCACACTCGTGTGCATCTGATGTGCTATGTGCCGGTCCTGGGGCTTGAACTCGGCCTGGGCTCTGTCCCTGTCCCTGAGCCTCTTTGTGCTCCAGGCTAGGCTCCACCACTTGAGCCACAGTGCCACTGACGGCTTTCTCTGAGTGGTTTACTGGAAGTTCCTATCTTACAGACTGCTTGCCCAGGCTGACTTTCAGCCATATACATATATGTGTCTCCACATAGATATGTCTATACGCGTATGTTTACACACTCGTGTGCAGATGCGTATATACTTGCACACACATTTATGCGTACACATGCTGTGTATGTGTGTAGTGACTGTACATGGAGAGCAGGTGCTAGATGCCAGGTGTGACGCAGGAGAAGGTAGTGCCAGCCTCTCCATTTTGCAGGTGAGAGAGTAGTCTCCAGGGGTGTCACTGGTCTCTTGGAAGCCACCCAGCTTGGGCGTGAAGACCCTGCGCTCCCTGGCTCCGTTCTTCTCACGCCCGGTGCCTCACGGCCTGTTGCTAACATTCTAATTGCTTGACAGTGAAGTGTCATGGAAGAGAAGCGTGGTGGGGAGGGATGTGGAGCCGCAGCTTGGTTTGCTACGGGATGGGGACCGGTTTGCTGAGGAGTTGAACCTGAGGGTGTGATGCTCAAAGATGTGTTGCAGGCCCCGAGTCAGGAGCAAGGTAAAATAAGACCTTTTAGGTTTATGTCAGCATTAAGAATATTCTAGAAAGCCGGGCGCTGGTGGCTCATGCCTGTAATCCTAGCTACTCAGGAGGCTGAGATCTGAGGATCATGGTTCAAAGCCAGCCCGGGCAGGAGACACCGTGAGACTCCTATCTCCAATAAACCACTAGAAAACAGGAAGTGGCGCTGTAGCTCAAGTGGTAGAATGCTCGCCTTGAGCTGAAGAGCTGAGGGACAGCGCCCAGGCCCAGAGTTCAAGCCCCACAACCGACAAAAAAAAAAAAAAAGAATATTCTAGAAAGGCTTGCCTCATGTGACACTATAGAGTCGAAGATGTGCCCTGTCCTCAGGGGCTTGCAGTGGCCGCCTGCACCGAACACTGGCCAGGTGGGTGGCCAGAAGAGAAGAGGCACATCCCTTCTTCCTGTCGTAAGGACGGTGAATTGCAGACACAGCACTGTGTGCCGTATGGTCCAGGCTGATGACGGGACTCAGTTACCGGGCGGAGGTGGGGTGAGCTCTGCTTCCTGACCTTGGCCGGTCGTTTGACCAGGCTCTTGCGCCACGCTGGTGCGCTCGCTAGGCAGGTGCGGCTCCTGCCGTGACTCAGGCCAGGCGCTTTGGATGAAAGGAAGTGGAGATGGGCTCGAGGGAGAAGCGCCATCTGGAGAGAGAAAGCCCTGAGTTAAGCCCTAATACCAGCATGGACAAATAGAGCTACAAACGTTTTATTTTTTTAAAAGAAAAGCTGGTATTATCTATACAGTATCCTCTCCTTTTTATGTGATTTCTGTAAACTCTGCAGTCCTAGAGTGTGAAAGTTGGAAGGAAGCCTAAAACACTTCTGGTTTATTACTTTAGATTTCTTGGTGGAGAGAAAAAGCAGGCTGCACTGCAGGAGTGACTTCTTAAAATTTATTTTGTTTTCTCAACTAACAAGCTGCGGCGGCCACTGTGTTCTGAGCGAAGCACAGGCTCTGGCAGTGAACCAGAGCTGAGCGGGAACTCGGGTCTTGTCTCAAAGGTGCTGCTCCTATGGCCACGTGTGCAGCTCAGCAGGGACTGGGCTTTTCTTGGTCGTGTGGGCCAGGAGATGACGGCTGGACATAGAAAATGTGGTGGACCTGAAACTCCTGATGATAATACTCAAAGTCATGTTAGCTGGTAGTGTCCACCTTCAGAATCACATTTGCTCGCCTCAGTAGGCCAAGTGACTTAGGGGACGTGAGGAATGGGGAGGGATAGGCAACACAGGCAGGACTCGCGGTGGAATGAAGGAGTCCTGCTTTAGCCCGCGTTACCCCTTGTCTGAAGGTGCAGAATGGGATCAAACTGCCCATCTGAACCAAGGGCATGTGTTTGAAGCCACTGCATGGATTGAGAGCAAATAAAGAAGCCTCCAGTGTATATATGCACATTGAATATCACGTGCGTGCGCGTGCACACACATACACATACTTCCTTGTAGTACAATGTGTGTTACTTTCACCTGAGAAAAAGACCATAAGACTCAAGTGCAGATCCACCATCTCGCTAATATGTGTGTGTGTGCGCGCGCGTGCATGTGTGTGTGTGTATGTGTATATATATCCATATACACGTTAGCTACAGGAGGGGGATTGTTATGTGATGTTTTCCCGGTGTGTTGTAGGTTGTGCTGGCTGGTAGGAGGATGCCGTGTGGGCTTCTGGGCTGGCTCTGCTCTGTGAGCAGTCTGCTTTCTCAGTGGTAGGTCAAGAGGTAGACATCACACTTGAACTTTGTACTTGATCTTTTTGTTGTTTTTTTTTGGTGCCCGTATTAGGACTTGACTCGGCCTCCAGCTATTGCTTAGGTTTTTCCGTTCGAAGTTGGTAATCTGTCACTTGAGCCACACAACTCCACTCCTGGAGCTTTGCTGGTTGACTGGAGGTGAGAGGCTCTTGGATCTGTCTGCCTGAGCTGGCTTTGAACCAGGATTCCTCAGATCTCAGCCTCCTGAGTCATGTGCTTCCTGTGAGCCAGCCCTTCACAGCATGTCAACTCTAACTGGCTCAAGTAAAGCTGATGATGATGATTATTTTTCTTTTGGTGACGGGAAACAGACAGATGCATCATCAGACAATATATTCAGGGGCTGGGACGGAGTGAAGGCTCCTGCTTGTGGACACAGCTATGCCTATTTTCCAGTAAGTGGTAATACCCTGCTGGCCTTCTTCCTCTATGCTGGCCCAGCACACTGCGGTGATGCCAGGCCACCAGCCACTTCTTGGCAAACTCCGGCACTTGTCTTCTGTGACAGATGATGCCTGATCGCTTCAGAGCTTCGGAAGCAAGTCAGGGTGGACCTTTGGATGCAGATGGTCCTGTGTGGGCCCTGAGAGGAGTCTGGGCTTCACGGCGGAGTAGGACAGCATCATAAACACAGTCTGCCCCACCCCCAGTGTGTATTTGTTCAATACCAAAAAATCAACAGGGAGTCTGAAATTGGCTTGTGTATTGACACCTGGCCATCCTACCACCTCCTTTTTTTTTTTTCCTAGCCTGAGGAGGACTGAGCAGAGGTTATGTAATGTGAGGAAGCAGAGTGCCTGACAGAGCCTGCGAAGGCCGGAGCCCTGCAGTGAGGGCGGATCTGCATGTGGATGCTGTTGACTCAAGGCAGCAGCAGTGGCACTGTTGTTGAGGGAGCTTCTCCTGTCAGCCTCTCTCTAGAATGTTCGACACGGGTGCCTCACACCGTCCAAAACCCAAATAAAGAGAAACCAGAGGTGCTTGGTGAGCTGAGGTGAAGCTGGGTGCTGATGTTTACTCGTTTTCCCTGCGCTCCTCCGCCACGCAGAGCCACGCGGCTCTGTTACCTGGCACCACTTGC